CGAGCCTGGTAGGGCTGCCTCTGCTGAAAGCCACCAGCTGGTGCTGGGAAACCAGGTGGCTTGGCGGTGTTATTGCTCCAGGCAAAGTTGGGATGCTGGCGCCATCCCTCATTGTAGGTGTTGCTGTATGGGTCCAGGCGCCGAGCATTTGCTATGAAGTCCACCTGCTCTTGGGGAGTAGAAGACTCCCTCATAGACTGACAATCCTCCACGAGGTGATTCGGGCTCTCACACCACTGACACTGAGCAACTGGAGGTGTAGCCAAACTTCTGCCCGGAATAAGACTGTTGGGCTGCTTCAATGCCTGCACTAGCTCAGCTACCTGCTGCTCGAGCCCGGATCTGGTCTCCATGGCGTGCACACCACGGTCCCTGGAATGTCTGCCTCTGCTGCTCTGCCCCCAGGAATGATCGCGGGCAGCCAAAGTACTGATCATCTGGTTCAGCTCGGGTGGAGTCTTAGTAAGGATATCCCCTCCTGGGCATAGAGACTCGATCACCCTCTGGCTGTCTGGGGTGATGGCACTGTAGAAGTTCCCCACTGTGAAAGCATCGCTGAAGCCATGATGGGGACACTGCCAGAAGTATCCCATGTACCGCTCCCATGCATCACGAAGGGACTCATCTGGCTCCTGGCGGAAGTGAGTGATCTCCCGCTGTATCTCCGTGGTCTTCGACGCCGGATAATACCGGTGCACGAACTTGTCAGCCAGATCGTCCCAAGAGGTGATGGACAAAGGGGGCTGGGTCTCCAACCACCTCTTAGCATTCCCCGCCAGAGAATGGGGGAACAGGTGAAGGCGGATTGCCTCATCCGGAACACCATTCAGCTTGAACCCGTTCGTCAGCTGCAGAAAACGGGAAAGGTGTGCCCGGGCTTCCTCATCCTTCAAGCCATGGAACTGGATAGAGGATGTGATGAGCTGAATCCAGCCTGGCTTGATCTCGAAGTTATTTGCTGGGACGGGTGGATAGAGGATGACCGGGTGGATGTCAGCAATCCGTGGAGTGTAGTAGTACTCCAAGGTGGGACCCGGCGGTGGTGGTGGATGCTGATTCACCGGGGGAACCTGTCGAGCATTCCCCGGTTGTGGGATGTCTTCGCCCTCCATCTTGTACTCTTCCTCAGAATCGCTGGTCGAGTGGCCGTCTATGCGCTCTCCCGTAACCAGTCTAGCTCACTGCTGTCTCCTAAGTTGGCGGCAAGTGCGTTCAAGCTCTGGATCCAACGACAGTAAACCTCCTGACTGGCTACGGGTCATGCACTACCTGCACACACTCAAGCAAGCAAACCCGTGAAGGCACAAGTGGGACAAAGTAAACAAAGCGAAAAGAAAAGCTAGAGTAACAGAAATCACTTTTCTTCAACAACCTAGCCGTCCCCGGCAACGGCGCCAAAAACTTGACTCACTTCTACTGTCACCCTAGAAAATGGCCAAGTGTAACCACTTCCTAAAGCGTAGTATAGCGGGTTTGGGTTTCAATGTCAACCCGGGTCCTAGATTTGCTGACTACTCAATGAGTTCTTGTTATCTAGCAATAAAACTGGAGTGCAAGTCTAAACTACCAAACAAACAAAGCAAGTAACTGGTTGTATTCAGGTTAAAGAGGTCACCCGGATATGGTTCCCCCTAGTCTGCAGTTAAGCCGGATTGTAATTACCAAGTTCAGTTTCTATGAAGATTATACTGCGGAAGGTTCTTAAACAGCCTGAAGTCTCGACTAAAGGTCTTCAGACCCTCTCAATCTGACTCTCTAGCGGGCGACTAACCTCCACCAGAGTCGACAGATTGAGGCCCTAAGAACAAAACCTCCACTACCGGAGTAAATCCGGTACAGAATAGTGAGTTGGCTCCTCGACTAAAGTCACCAACTCCCTACCTTCAATCAAGGATACTCTATTAACCTAGGCAGATATTCTCATTCTAGGTTAAAGCAGAAACAACAGGAATTTGATCAGGATTCAAGTCATTCAATCATAAAACCTCAATCGAATATAATCAATCACAGAATCAGTACTTGGGTTCATACAACCAATCTCAACATACAGAACTAGGGTTTCCCACACCCAGATGAATGGGAGAACTACTCCATGGAGAGAGAAGCAAAAGCAGAATCAGACGCGGAAATCATACTGTGAAGATGGATTTCTGCTCCTGGACGTTGAATCGGCACTTCTCCAAGCTCAAACCAAGCTCCAATGGTGTTGAAGATCGATCTAGGGCGCTTGGAGACTCTTGTTCGTCGCTTTCTCTCTCTAGGAATCGTTCTATCTCTCCAAAACTCGAATCCTCTCTCAATTTGGCTGAAATCTGCCTAAAAGGGCATCATTGGCCAAAACACGGTCGAGGGCACGGCCGTGTTTTGCCTCAGCCCGCCCGTGTTTTGCCTCAGCCTTAAAAGCACGGCCACGGGCAGCTTGAAAACACGGTCGTGTTCAGGCTAAAACACGGCCGTGCTTTCCTCAGGCCTACCCGTGTTTTTTAGGTTGTGCACGCCACCCTTGGAAGCCTCGGCCTAAAAAGCACGGTCACCGGAACACGGCCGTGTTCTGAGGGCCTCCTGCCCGTGTTTTGGCCCTGGCTCGTCCAAACGACTTGCAAACGATCCGAAACTCGTGCTTGGCCTTCCCTTTGACGCCTGGGACCTGAAATAGGACAAAGTAACACAACCCGGCGTAAAATAGGCCAAAACACACAACCATGCTCCGCAAATGGATAAGAAATAGGGGTATAAAATCATGTAATTATATCGTTATCATCTACTAACCACCCAACAAGTCCTTTACACCCCCCATTTCTCTTATCCCATCAGCTCGTGAACCTCTATTATTAGAGACAGCTAGCTACTGCTAGACAACCCATATCAACTAGCCTCTCTCTCTCTCGGTCCTTAAATTAAACCTAGAGAAAAGAGTGTGAGAAAGCCATCCATCTGCATCTCGTATCCAAACCCCCCCCCCCATTTCTCATTGTTCAAATAAACATCACTGCTACCTACTCATCTCTATCACCATCACAAATTGTCTCCATCTCTCCGCAAGAAAATCAAACACCACCAGAAGCTAAAGCGCCTTTGCCTCCTTGCCCAATCATCATCGTCACCACTACTAGCTAGCAGGAGGAGGCCGAGTAAAACAATAGCACTCATCCATCTCGTCATCATCCCGCCACACCACCGCTCATCGTCATTACTAGAGAAGGACCACAAAATTAGCGGTCTTTTCCTTCATATGTTCTCGAGACCAGTAGGTAAGAGCTATGAATCCCAAACCCTTTTCAAGCCTCGAAGCTACATAATTAGCTAACTATGGTTGTTGCGTCGTAGCTGCGGCGACAAAAGTACGAGGTGATCAAAGGATGATCTAAGCGATAAATTGTGGTTCAACAGCTCGTATCTACCCTAGGCTTGCTTTGAGGGTGAGTACTCATCCCAATCGATCTCCGTATTTGATTTCGATCAAAACTAACTCAAACCAACGTATATAATGGTTGTAAGTTCGACAGCGGCTCCGGCGTGGTCGACCTCGACCAAACTTCAAAACCTTGGTACCATCGTGAAGAGGACGATCCCAGGATCGTCACCGTTTTGACGAAATCGAATTTCGACGTTAGACGAGGGAGAACGGAGCTACGAAAGTTTGAGACGTGAGCTGAAACGTACAGGTACCTGTCTGCGAGAAAATATCTAGATTAGTCCCCCATGTTTTTAGTATGAACAGATTGGTCCCCTACGTTTCAAATTTTGACAATTGACCGAAAGTAGTATTTTTTTATGGACATGTTTACTTCCGACGCGTTTCAGTGAATATTTTTATGATTTGATAATTTTATAAATTATAGAATATTATTTCGATGACTGGATAATAATTTAAGAATTTTATGAGCTGTATTTATAATTCTAAAAATTCGTAGAACATCGGTTTTAGAAAATTAAAATACTGTATAAGCGACTTCGGTATTTTTGATAATTTTATACGTAACTAGGATGCAATAAGGTTACTCGTAATAAATTTGGAGATTTTAAGAGGTGATTTAATATTTATAAAAATTAAACTAAGGACGGTTTTATTTAACTAAAATAGTAAAAGAAGGCTCCTGACCCATTTGATAATTTTACAAGAATCTAGAATGACGTTTTGATATTATAAAATTATAGATTTAAGGAGGATAGTTTTTAGTGAGTTAAAGGTGATAAATTGAGCAGTATCGACTAAAAGGATATACGTTTAAATTATAGGTTTAAGGTAGCAATCGGAGTAAGGGTTCCACATCAAGGGAACTAAGTAATCACCACAAGAGGTGAGTGTAAAGGGGGTAAAATCTACGCCTTACATATTACGTTTGAGATTTGCTGCTATGTGATATATATGCTTATGTATGTTTACGTGATGCATGATATTACGTGTAAGTTATGTTTTCAGTCATATAGTTGATGACATGTATTTAATTACTAGTAAGTTACTTTTAAGGAGTACAACACCTTCAAGGAAGGTGTAAGGTTTTAAGAGTTTTGAGTCGCTAGCGCCAGTCCGTTGCCCATATGAGATTTTGAGATGAGCAGTAGTTATGCTCTTGAGACTTTTAAGATGAGCAGAAATTATGCTCTTGAGAATCATGGTGAAGAGCCACCACGATAAGTATAAGATGTTAGGGGGAATGATCGTTACGACTCCCCTAACTAAGTTTAAGTTCAAGTAAGCCTGGATGGGCTCTCATACGTATGAGATGGGCAACCAGACTAGCTAGTGGGGGATCCCAGTGTCGGTTAAAGTTTTAAAGTTTTTGAGAGTGGGGTTAAGAGTAAATCCCACGTTTTAAGAGTTAAAGTTTAAAGGGCGAAAGTATAATCAACTTCCACTAATTTATTGTTTGAGGAACACTTAAGGTAATAATTCGTAAGTGTTTCAAGTTTAAGTAATGGCGTAGACTGACCCCAACTCACTCACCAGATCGTAGAGGAGGAGAGCAAGATCAGATAGTTCGTGGGCAACAGGTTAGAGGGGCTCAACATCAGCGTCGTTAAAGCATGGCGGACCAAGCATCAAAGTAAGCGTTGGGGGAAAACTTTTAAGTTATTTGGACTATGTGGTTGAAAGTTAAGAACTGGAGATTCTGGTCGTTTGTTTCTTTTAAGAATATGATTTGGAGTTTTGCCCACATGTTTAGGGCTTGTCATTGAGATTTCAAATTATTAAAGTTTGGTGTATTTATTTTATGTGTGTTTATGAATAATTTTTAAATATACCCCGGGGTAGAAATGTCTTTTACATGTCTTAAAAAGGTGGGATGTAACATTTTGGTATCAGAGCCGGTCTTCCTCTGTTTCTTGGTTCCTAAGAAATACTGGAATATCGGTCCTAGTTTTAAAAATTTGTTTAAAAAAAGGAAAGTGAGTTTTAAGTTAAAGGTTTGGCCAAACGAGTCAAGAATTTTCTTTTAAGAGTCAATAGAATCTCCAGTCTACTCTCAACCATGTTAAGAAAGAAATAACTGAGTTCTAACGAGATCGTATGAATCTACAGAGCAAGTGTTGGCCAGAATCCCGCCCCGCCTGTGCCACCACGAGTGAGACCTCCACCGGATTACGTAGCTTTTCGGAAAAGAAAGGTGGAGGATTTTAAGGGGGACCGTTCAACGGACCCCATGGAGGTTGAGCAGTGGCTAGCTAAGGTAACTCGTACCCTGATCGAGATGAGGGCTGATGACGAAGAAAGGGTACTACTGACAGTATCTTTGCTACAAGACACTGCTTACAATTGGTGGATTAACAAGCCAGCTAGCCGAGAGGACCCACCAACCATCACCTGGCCAGAGTTCGTGGAGCTATTTCGAGACCACTTTGTACCAGAAGCCTATCGGATCGCGAAGCAGAGGGAATTCTTGCTAATAAGGCAGAGGTGGGGCTGACTACACGGCGAGATTTGACAAACTGCTTGCGTATGGAGGACCTCAATTTCAGGATGCACATGCAAAACGCATCCACTACCTGGAAAGCGTGAAGCCTCCTTTTAGGCGTCAATTGAGTATGCTGAATTGGAACAACAGAGAGGAGATCTATCAAGCAGCTCTCCGGTTGGAGAGGGCAGATACAGCCCTGCACGAGGAGGGGATGCAAAGAGAAGGGAACAAGAGAAAGGCTGTCAGCCTTTCAGAGGGGCCAAGCCAGCTGAGTCATTCGAGGAGGAGACCGAGCCAGAGCTACTATGGGGTCACTCAGAGCCATGCCGGCTCAACCCGATCAGGGCCAACCTATATTCACCGGGACCCATGTAACAAGTGTGGGAGAACTCACCCGGGAGAGTGTATGGGAGGCATATGCTATCACTGCAATGAGCCGGGCCACTATGCTAGAGATTGCCCTAGGAAAGGAGGGCAACGGAGAGCTCAGTCTGAACAATCAGTCAGGGGCGGAGGAGGAAGAACACAAGCCGGACAGCAGTTTAACAACAATCCAAACCGGTCCTATCACCAACAGGGAGGCAATGCAGGGCGGTTCAACCGCAACGAGCGAGATCGAGGGCAAGGATCTCAAGTGGCTGGGTAACCAAGACTGTTTGCCATGAGGAGGGAAGAAGCTGCTGCTGCACCCGATGTGGTGACTGGTATGATTTCACTTTACCATCAGCCAGCCTTTGTATTATTTGATTCTGGTTCCACGCACTCTTTCATTTCGACCAAGCTTGCTAGGATCATAGGGATCCCATCTGTGAGATTGGGACAGAATTTAGGGGTAAGAACCCCAGTAGGGGATACCCTAATAGTAGACTCAGTCATTCGGGGTTGTCTTATCACTGTGGCGGGCCACAAATTTGAGGCGAACCTGATTCTGCTACCGTTTGACGAATTCGATGTTATCTTGGGCATGGATTGGCTATCCAAGAACAGAGCAAAGATGGACTGCTATAAAAAGGAGGTTAGTCTGGAGATAGAAGGAAAAGGCACTGCACTATTCAAATGGACTAAGAAGCTAATTCCTGGATGCTTAATCTCAGCGATTAAGGCATTCTCATTGATTCAAGATGGATGTGAAGCCTATTTGGCTCATGTCAAGGAGGTGCAAGAGAAAAAGATAGAAGATGTACCTATCGTAAGGGAATACCCTGAGGTATTTCCCGAAGACCTTCCTGGACTACCGCCACAACGGGAGGTGGAATTTGATATTGAAGTGATTCCTGGCACAGCACCGATATCTATTCCTCCATACCGCATGGCGCCAGTGGAGCTAAAGGAGTTGAAGGAGCAATTGCAGGAGCTATTAGACAAGGGCTTTATTCGCCCTAGTGTATCACCTTGGGGAGCACCGGTATTGTTTGTGAAGAAGAAGGATGGCAGTATGAGATTGTGCATCGACTATAGGAAGCTAAACAAGGCCACCATCAAGAACCGTTATCCTTTACCAAGGATAGATGATCTCTTCGATCAGCTACAAGGAGCGAGGGTGTTTTCGAAGATTGATCTGCGGTCAGGGTATCATCAGTTTAGAATGGCAGATGGTTCAGTACCCAAGACGGCTTTCCGGACCCGGTATGGCCACTATGAATTCTTGGTCATGCCATTCGGACTAACTAATGCACCGGCAGCCTTTATGGCGCTAATGAACCGGGTTCTTCATGAATACTTGGACAAGTTTGTCATCGTCTTTATAGATGACATACTCATTTACTCGAGGAGTAAGGAGGAACACGAAGAGCACTTGAGGGTTGTTTTACATAAATTGAAGGAGGAGAAGCTATATGCCAAGTTCTCGAAGTGTGACTTTTGGTTGGAGGAAGTATTATTCTTGAGTCATATGATTTCGGGTCGCGGAGTGGAAGTGGATCCCAAGAAGATAGAAGCTGTGATTAATTGGTCACCACCAAAGAACGTCCCTGAAGTGCGGAGTTTCTTGGGATTAGCTGGCTATTATCGGAGGTTTGTTGAGGGTTTCTCCAGTATTGCAAGACCTATGACACAACTATTGCAGAAGGGGAAGCCATTTATTTGGGATAAGAAGTGTCAAACGGCATTTGAGTTACTGAAGGAGAAGCTGACCTCTGCACCGGTGTTAGCACTACCGACCAGTGGTGGGGAGTACTCTATCTATAGTGATGCTTCCTACCAAGGTTTGGGGTGCGTTCTGATGCAGGATAAGAAGGTGATCGCCTATGCTTCGAGGCAGCTACGACCCCATGAGGTGAACTATCCCACCCATGACTTGGAGTTGGCAGCAGTGGTCTTTGCCTTGAAGCTATGGAGACACTATCTCTACAGAGAGACGTTCACCATCTTCACTGATCATAAGAGCCTCCAGCACTTGACTAATCAAAAGGAGTTGAACATGAGGCAGAGGAGATGGATGGAGCTCTTAAGTGATTATGACTGCACTATCAAGTATCATCCAGGAAAGGCAAATGTAGTGGCTGATGCATTGAGCAGGAAGAAAGAGAGTCCATTACCGGAGTTAATCTCCTTGAGGGCCATGAATGTGGAGCTGGAGCTAGAGGAAGTGACGAAACTGTTAGCAACCTTAAAGGTTCGTCCTATGCTACATGAACGAATCAAGGAGAAGCAGGGTGAGGATATGGAGCTGGAGAAGTACAAGAAGCAAGTGTTAGAGGGGAAGAACACCAAATTTGAACTGGTAGATGGAGTACTAATGTATCAAGGGAGGTTGTGTGTGCCAAGTGTTGACAAGCTAAGGAAGGATATTCTGGACGAGGCTCACTCTGCACCATATGCGATGCACCCCGGGGCTACGAATATGTATCGTACCCTCAAGGAACATTTTTGGTGGCCAGGGTTGAAGAAGGAGGTAGCCGCTCACGTATATCAGTGCTTGGAGTGTCAAATGATAAAGGCTGAGCACCAAGCCCCAGTTATTGAGCACTTACCACTTGAAATTCCACAGTGGACTTGGGAGAAGGTCACTATGGATTTTGTATATGGTTTACCAAAGACCCCGAGGGGAAACGATGGAGTATGGGTAATTGTGGATCGATTCTCGAAGGTGTCTCACTTTATACCTATCAGATTCAAACCAGGGCTAGAAGAGCTGGCTAGATTGTATGTGAGAGAGATAGTAAGGCTTCATGGAGTCCCACTTAGCATTGTGTCTGATCGCGACCCTAGCTTCACGGCACGATTCTGGGTGAGTCTTCAAAAGGCTATGGGCACTAAAGTGCACTTCTCTACCGCATATCATCCCCAGACTGATGGACAATCAGAGCGGACAATTCAAACACTAGAAGACCTGCTAAGGGCATGTGTTTTGACAATGGGAGGAGCTTGGGACGAGAACTTACCTCTAATGGAGTTTGCTTATAACAACCAGTATCATAGCTCGATACAAGCGGCTCCGTATTAAGTGTTGTATGGGAGAAAATGTCGAACACCACTGTACTGGGATGCAGAAGGAGTGAGACAGCTGGAGGGTCCAGAGATGGTTCAGAAGGCGGTAGAGAAGGTCGAGGCAATCCGTCGGAACTTGAAGGCGGCTCAGGACCGGCTGAAAAGTAACGCTGAGAGGCCATGAAATCAACGAAGTCATGAAGTGGGAGATATGGTATTTCTAAGAGTATCTCCTTGGAAAGGGGTGATGCGATTTGGTAAAAAGGGGAAACTGAGTCCTAGGTACATCGGACCATATGAGGTGTTGGAACGTGTTGGACCCCTCGCATATCGACTAGCTTTACCTCCTAACCTTGCAAGAATTCACAACGTCTTCCACATCAGCATGCTGAAGGCGTACCGGTCTAACCCTGACCATGTGATCAGACATGAGGATATCCAACTAGACGACGACCTGACCTATGAAGAGGTGCCAGTTCAGATCGTAGACAAAAAAGAGAAGATGCTGAGGAAGAAGAAGATCACTCTGGTTAAGGTGATATGGAGGAATCAGGGCAGCGAAGCTGCAACTTGGGAAACAGAGAGTAGCATGAAAGAAAAATATCCCGAGTTGTTTAAGAGCATTTAGAGAAGTTATTATAAGCCTCATTGACATTTCATGGCAATTATCAATACGGCGTAACAATAGTTATGATGACTCAATTTGTTTCGTCATGTTTAACAACGTTGTTCAGAACATAATTTCGAGGTCGAAATTTTCCTTATGAGGGAGGGAAATGTTATATCCCAGTATAAACGTTTCAATTTCGGGGACGAAATTTTTTTTTAAGTGGGGAGGAAATGTAACACCCCAAACTTCGAGAAATTTTTAAACAAACTAAATTTAACGAGGAAACAAGAATTCCACTCCTACGCGAGTAAGTTACGATTGAAACTATTGATTGATGACATTTTAAGTAAGAATATTCTGGGTCAATTTCTTAATAATCAGTATCTAAGCTCGACACTCTAAGTTAAGAAATTATTCTACGATCACTTAGAATTTTACAGATCTTAATTCCGAGTCCAAACGAGTGAGATAAGTTAGTCCAAAGTGGAACCTATCGTTAGAGTAACGTTTGCGTACCGAAAGCTAAAACGAACGTATCTTATTCGTTTGACGTCGAAATAACGAGCCGTTTGCGGCCACGCCATCGTATCGACAGGGAGAACATTTTAGAGTGAACAGATATAACACAGAATATCTATATAATCTTGATGATCACCGACACAAAGGGGGAGAATTAACCTCACTCCACTCGTTACAGCCACCCCAAATCACACTTAAAGTAGCCTTTCACAAATTACCCTTC